AAGGAAGGCAGTAAGGAGGCAGCAAGGGAAGGCAGCAAGGAAGGCAGCAAGGAAGGCAGTAAGGAAGGCAGCAAGGAAGGCAGCAAGGAAGGCAGCAAGGAAGGCAGCAAGGAAGGCAGTAAGGAAGGCAGCAAGGAAGGCAGTAAGGAAGGCAGTAAGGAAGGCAGCAAGGAAGGCAGCAAGGAAGGCAGTAAGGAGGCAGTAAGGAAGGCAGCAAGGAAGGCAGCAAGGAAGGCAGCAAGGAAGGCAGCAAGGAAGGCAGTAAGGAAGGCAGCAAGGAAGGCAGTAAGGAAGGCAGCAAGGAAGGCAGCAAGGAAGGCAGCAAGGAAGGCAGCAAGGAAGGCAGCAAGGAAGGCAGTAAGGAAGGCAGCAAGGAAGGCAGTAAGGAAGGCAGCAAGGAAGGCAGTAAGGAAGGCAGCAAGGAAGGCAGCAAGGAAGGCAGCAAGGAAGGCAGCAAGGAAGGCAGCAAGGAAGGCAGTAAGGAAGGCAGCAAGGAAGGCAGCAAGGAAGGCAGCAAGGAAGGCAGTAAGGAAGGCAGCAAGGAAGGCAGCAAGGAAGGCAGCAAGGAAGGCAGTAAGGAAGGCAGTAAGGAAGGCAGTAAGGAAGGCAGCAAGGAAGGCAGCAAGGAAGGCAGCAAGGAAGGCAGCAAGGAAGGCAGCAAGGAAGGCAGTAAGGAAGGCAGCAAGGAAGGCAGCAAGGAAGGCAGCAAGGAAGGCAGTAAGGAAGGCAGCAAGGAAGGCAGCAAGGAAGGCAGCAAGGAAGGCAGCAAGGAAGGCAGTAAGGAAGGCAGCAAGGAAGGCAGCAAGGAAGGCAGCAAGGAAGGCAGCAAGGAAGGCAGCAAGGAAGGCAGCAAGGAAGGCAGCAAGGAAGGCAGTAAGGAAGGCAGTAAGGAAGGCAGCAAGGAAGGCAGCAAGGAAGGCAGCAAGGAAGGCAGCAAGGAAGGCAGTAAGGAAGGCAGTAAGGAAGGCAGTAAGGAAGGCAGCAAGGAAGGCAGCAAGGAAGGCAGCAAGGAAGGCAGCAAGGAAGGCAGCAAGGAAGGCAGTAGGAAGCAGCAAGGAAGGCAGCAAGGAAGGCAGCAAGGAAGGCAGTAAGGAAGGCAGCAAGGAAGGCAGCAAGGAAGGCAGTAAGGAAGGCAGCAAGGAAGGCAGCAAGGAAGGCAGCAAGGAAGGCAGTAAGGAAGGCAGCAAGGAAGGCAGCAAGGAAGGCAGCCGTCGTCTTCAAGACACTTGTTCGTCTTATCTGAAAATTTAAGACAGAAATTTGTAAAAAAAAAAGATAAATGAAGTTTTTAGTTAACTCAGAATAAATAAACATTTATCACAAAATTATAATAATAATAATAATAATAATATTAATAATAATAATTATTATTATTATTATTATTATTATTATTGTTTTTTATTTTTATTATTATTATTATTATTATTATTATTATTATTATTATTAATATTAATTATTATTATTATTATTATTATTATTATTGTTTTTTTATTTTTTATTATTATTATTATTATTATATTATTATTATTATTATTATTATTATTATTATTATTTTTATTAATAATAATAATAATAAAGAATGGAAAGTGGTGAGAAGGTGTGGTTAAGACGACCATATCATCAGTGGTGTTGAGGCCTCAACACACCTTATGTCTCGATGTGTTGAAGACTCTATGAGGAAGTAGCGGTGTCCTCGCGGGACCCTGGTCTCGCTGGGGTCTCGTGTGAAGGAGACCAGATGTCCTCGTATATGTATCCTCGCAGGTAGAAGTCTCGTCTGAACTTCCAACCAGGACGATGTGATCTCTCCAGAGAGTGTAGGCTGCGTTATATAACATATACATATATGTATATATATATATATTATATATATATATATATAATAATATATATATATATATATATATATATATATATATATATATATATATATATATATATATATATAATATCTTGGATTTAGTTATTGGAAAAGCATATTAAAGGAATTATTGAGAGGAAAGCAACTGGATGGTCATGACAGAGCTGCAGGAGACTGATAGAGTCCCTCGGCTCTCCTGGGAGGGAAAGGAATTTATATACAGGTTTGTTCACGTGTAGATATTTACAGTGTGGAAGTACGAGGAGAGAGAAGTAACACTTACGATGGTGTTAGTGGACCGATGCCCCAGTCAGCGTACCGTTCTGGCGACCGTCGGGGAGGTTGCTTTCTTGTTGCCTGATGTTCTGTACCTTCATCTTCCACCTGCATCTTTGTTTTCCCCTCATCTTTTATCTCCATTTTCGTCTTCTCTTGATCTACAAAATGCATCTCCGTCTGCCTCTGATCACCAGTATGAGTCTGCCTCTGCCTCTGATCACCAGGATGAGTCTGCCTCTGCCTCTGATCACCAGGATGAGTCTGCCTCTGCCTCTGATCACCAGGATGCATATTCTCTTGCAGGCGTTCGTCTATGTCGGATGATAAATATGCTTCTTCGATTATATGTCCAGGTAATGCTCTCTGATTGTGGGAAATCACCTTATTCTTCATCTGCCAGGCAGGACGCAGGAGACGGAGGTTGTAGGAAGCCACTGACGATGGCTTTGGAATGTTGTCTTGTCGAGTGCCATTTGGTTCTCCATGGATGATGTTCTTGCAGGGTTGCATCTGATAAAGGTCTTCTCGTTTATTGTGCGGTAAAGCCTCTCTCAGTGGGAAATTCTCCTTATATTCTCATCTGCCAGGCTGGCCAGGAGACGAGGTTGAAGCACTGACGATGGCTTTAATGTTTGTGTTTGGTTCGAGGTCTTTGGGTGTTCCCTCCTCTAAAAGTATTTCTGTGAGCTAGATGCTTTGTCTAAGTGATGTGTTACATGGTGTGTGAGATGTAGTGCTGAGTGAAGTACAATTTCCGCTGAAATTTGTCTGCTGTAGTGTTTCTCTGGTCGTAATTGGGGCCGGAAGTGTTGTGTCAGTGGTTGGTTAGAGTGTATCTTTGGTTGTTGACAGTGGTGTTGAGTAGTTAACGGAGAGTGTGTCTCATGGCCGTGTTCAGAGCGTAAGGTGCTGGAAGATGTGTTGCGTGGTTTGTGATTGGTGCTGAAGTGAGTGTGTTGACAGTGGGTGTGTGAGAGTGTAGGGTGCTGGAGTGAGTGTGTTGACAGTGGGTGTGTGAGGGCGTTGGGTCGCTGCAGTGGCCTCTATGGTTGGCGAGATTCCATCCTCACCCATTTCGATTCCCCCTGAAATCGACGAAAAGGGAACATAGAACAACAATTGCAAGTGGGTAGAGGGAGAAAGAAGTAAAAAGGGAGCAGGAAGAGGGAGGGAGGGAAAAGAGGGAAGAAGATACCAGGGAGATAATGAAGAGGATGTGAAATAGAGGGAAGAGAGAGTACAAGAATAGATATAGCTGGAGGACAGTGGACAAGGCAAGGGAAGACAAAAGAATCAATGGGTACAACGTTAGGAGAGAAGAAGGAATAAGGGGAAAGAAGGGAAGAGGGCGTGAAGAAGGGTGAAAATATAGACAAACTGAATCATAGATAAGCAACAAAGTGCCACTAACAGTTTTAGATACGACCACTTTAAGAGACGAGAGAGTTAGGGAGAGATAAGAGGAGAAGAAAATGCAAATTTTGAAAGAAGAATTACACAGAAAGAAACTCAAAACTAAAACCAATATATAACATTATAAAAATTTATTAAATGTGAAGGATAATTATTTATAAACGTAAATAAGAGCACTAAAACCCAAAGAGGCAAAATACTCTCAACAAACCCATAATTCAAAAAGGACACTGAAAAAGGCTTTCTGGTCCCATTTGAACCATTATCAAGTGGAATTAAGGGCTTTTTAACCCTCACAAGGAAAGATTTTTTCGATCAGCAGAAGAGACAGAGACAATACGTTTTTAAATCTGAAAATGAGACATAATGATGGAACACAGGTTTAATCTAATTACAAAAGACATTTCATATACTTGATCCAAGAAACTGGGCCTATCCTGCCATTCCTTGGATCAAACCTTCTTGCATCCCATTCCCCAGGATCTATGTGGCCCATAAGGGTTTAGCGTTTCCCTTTGATTATAATATTAGCAAGAGACTTACATGGGTGGGACTTGGGTGACGCTGGACTGGTGGTGTGATGGGGAGAGAGCCTCGTGGGTTTGTCTGCCCTCTGACCCTGGGTGATGCTGGGCATGGTGACCCTCGTGGAGGTGAGTGTTGTTCCTGTACTGGGTGAAGCCATGGTGATAAGTGTGGCTTCGGTAGCGGGTGTGGTACTAACAGTGGGCGTGACACTGACAGTGAGTGTGGCACTGACAGGGGGCATGGTTCTGGCACTGGTCGTAGTGCTGGTACTGGTGGTGAGCGTGGTACTGCTTCTGATAGTGTTCTTGGATCCGGTGCTGGGAATTTTAATGGTTGTGACAGTGGTTGTGGTACTGGTAGTGGTCCTGGGTGTGGTAGTGATGGTAGGTGTTGAGGGCAGTGAATTCCAAGACTTTATATCCTCTGGAATGGCGTACGTTCTGTTGATAATGAGACCAGGTGAATGGGTGGTGGCGGGAGACAAGAGAATGGTGGTGGGTGGTGAGTGGGCAGTGGTGGTGATGACGGTGGGTGGGGAGTGGGTTGTGACGGACGGCAATTGAATGGTAAACACTGGTAGAATCCCTTCAGAAGTTTTATCTCTGTGTGTTCTGTAAAAATAAAAATCAAACAGTATTCCCAGTATTGACATCTCTGACGACAAGTCTGGATCAAAAAATGTAATTCAAAATTATCTTCGAGAAAACAGTTATCTCTGACTATAAAAATAACGAGTTACCTTTTGTTGAGACTTGAATGAGGTCGCCCTTTAGAGGAGCCGCGCTTTCTGCTATTTCTTCCATATTTTCGCTTCTTATTTCTTCTCCTTTGATTGTTAATCCTTCCGCTATCTCTCATTTTCTCCTCAGCTTCGTCTCTCCTTCTTGGGATGCTGGCGTTCATCTCCCTCTCCTGAGATCCATCTTGGCCAGGAGGCTGTCTGTCTCCTCTCCATCTTCCTCTCTTTCTATTTGTCTTCTTTTTCTTCCTACTCAAAACCCGATTTTCTTTCCTTTTGTTTTTCCTCTTATGTTTTCGATGTGCTTTCCGCTTTCTGTTCTCGAGTTCTTTATCTAACTTCTCTTTCTCTGGTATGCTTGACTCAATAGTTTCAACAACATCATTTCTGCCTTTCCACGCTCTTACTTTGCTCTGTTGACTCTTGAGGATGCTGTTGCTCTGTGTTTCCTTATTATTTAGGTGATCATGGACGCCAGGATCACGCCGTCCACTACGTCCACATCTCTCTCCTTCTTCGCCGCCTACACAGGTCCTCCTGTGAGCTGAGGGTGTCGGTGATGCCTGCGGCTCCTCGTATATTCCTTGCGATTTATAAACTCTTGTAGGATCCTTGGATGAGTAGCTGCTCTTATCAGTCTCCTCAAGATGGGAGTGTCTGCCATCTTTTTCCGATGCCCCCGAAGACATGTTATGAGAATCTTGCAGAGGAAGGGATGTTGTTTTATCTCCAGCCATTTTCTGTGCTTCTGCTGATAGTCTGTCTGCTGTTAGGGATACTGGTATCAACCTGTCTGCTGTTAACAAATTGTGTATACCCTTGTATCCTGTAAGAGACGTCACGAGAGTCATATTCTGCTGTATTACGGGACCAGATCTCTCACTTTGATTTCTGAAAGAATGCTTAGTGAGCGACCCGTCTTTGTGGCGAGTTTTCCTTGAGGGAAGATTGGCAGCAGTCTTGTGTACAGTGGGCGAGGCTGTGGGTACCATCGTCTCTCTGGTGTTTGATACTTGGATTTTTTTTTCTGGGCTGTTAAATGGAATGATAACTTTATTGTCTGCTCCATTCCTGGGAGTTTTTCCCATCCCTTGTGCTTAGTCTCTAAATTGTCCTTGGAAGACCGAAAAACGATGATTTCTCTTGGATCTGCGAGGTTTTCACCCTCCATGGATTTCATCAGTGTTCCATGAGCGAGTTTTCCCTGGACGGCGCTGTGAGTAACGAGTGTCCCTCGGCTTGCTAGTTTAATTCTTTTCCCCCTTAACGGGCTTCAGATTTTTTCGAAGTGTCATTCTCCTCCGGTGAGTTTGGGGAAGTTCTCGTTTGTCTGGGGGTTGTTGTGGTGACACGGTCCTGTAGAGAACTTTCTGAAAGGGTGTTGAGGGGTTTCTGAAGGGTCGACGACCCAGAGGTGGTGATATGGGGGATGAGGTTGAAAGTGGAGTTGGTAGTCTCCACCTCCATCAGTGTTCTTACGGTCGAGTTCGATGCCTCCTCCCCTCAGCTATAAGAAATAATATTATAAAATTTATTTTTTGCATCTAAAATGCAATTTATTGAATTTTTCCTAGTTTTGCATAATTATTATATTCCCCATTAACTTTCCTAGCCAATAAATTCCACAAATTAAAAGACATAAGGAATTTAATATAAAAAAAAAAAATAAAAAAATTAATAAAGAGGAAATTAATATTGATCATTTAGATTTTTTAATAACGGCCAGGACAACCCATTTTAAAGCCACTCCAAAATGAAAATTAAATTTTTCTGAAGATTTCTTTAGTTTCCCCAAAAAAGAAACTAATATATATATATATAATTTATATATATATATAATATATAATATATAATATATTATAAATAATATATTATATATATATTTATATATATATATATATATATATATATATAATTATCACTACGTATTTACAAACTGTTTTGACCTCTGTGAGTCGCCCAGAAACAAACAACAAATGAAGACCGATCCACCGTCCACAAAAACCTAGACGGATGTAATCTTGGTTGAGTGAAGTTAGGCCCTTACCAACAAGCCACAAACTTACCACAACAAGCCACAAGACTTACCACACAACCCAAGACTTACCACACAAGCCACAAGATTTACCACACAAGCCACAAGACTAACCACACAAGCCACAAGACCCCCTTTGCAACACACAAGCCACAAGACTTACCACAAAAGCCACAAGACTTACCAACAAAGCCACAAAAGACATTTAACCACACAAGCACACAGACTTAAACTCACCACAAGCACAGACTTACCACACAAGCCAAAGACTTACCACACAAGCACAGACTTACCACACAACCCAAACAAGACTAACCCAAGCAAAAGACTTACCACACAAAGCCACAAGCAACACCCCAAGCCACAAGAATTACCACACAAGTACAAGACTTACCACACAAGTCCACAAGACTTACACACAAGTCACAAGACTTACCACAAAAGCCACAAGATTTACCAACAAGTCACAAACTTACCACACAAGCCCCCAAATTACCACACAAGCCAAAAAAGGCCCTTACCCCCACAACCCACAAGACTTACCACAAAGCCACAAACTTACCACACAACTCACAAGACTTACCACACAAGCCACAAACTTACCACACAACACAAGACTACCACAAAAGGGCCACAACTACCACACAGCCACAAGACTTACACACAACCACAAAACTTACCACAAAAGCCACAAGACTTACCAAAACAAGGACCACAAAGACTTACCACACAAGCCACAAGACTAACCACACACCACAAGACTTCTCACAAACCCACAAGACTAACCCACAAGCCACAAGACTTCCACACAACCACAAGACTTACCACAAAAGCCAAGACTACCCACACAACCACAAATTACCACCCCATCCACAGACTAAAACCCCCACAATCCACAAGACTTACCACCAAGCCACAAGACTAACCACAAAAAGCCACAATACTTACCACACAAGCCACAAGACTAAACAACAATCAAAAGACATACCACAAAGCCACAAGACTAACCAAACACAAGCCACAAGCAAACCACACAACCCACAAGACTTACCACACAAGGCCACAAAACTTACCACACAAGCCACAAGACTTACCAAAACAAGCCCACAAGACTTCCCACACAAGCCACAAAACAAACAACACCAAGCCACAAGACTAACCACACAAGCCACAAGACAAACCCACACAAGCCACAAGACTAACCACACAAGCCACAAGATTTCCCCCCCACAAGGCCACACAGGACTTACCCACACACCACAAGATTTAAAACCACACAAGCACCAAAAAAGGAACTTAATACCCACACCAAGCCCACAAAAGACTAACCCACACAAGCCCCCAAGACATTCCCAAAACACAAGCCCCCCAAGCCCTTAAACAACACAACCACAAGACTTACCCACACAAGCCACAAACCTTAACCACAAAAATCCCACAAACTTACCACACAAGCCAAAAAGACTTACCACACAAGCCACAAGACTTACCACACAAGCCACAAGACTTACCACACAAGCCACAAGACTTACCACACAATCCACAAGACTTACCACACAAGCCACAAGACTTACCACACAAGCCACAAGACTTACCACACAAGCCACAAAACTTACCACACAAGCCACAAGACTTACCACACAAGCCACAAGACTTACCACACAAGCCACAAACTTACCAAAAACAATCAACAAGACCCCTTACCCACACAAGCCACAAGACTTACCACACAAGCCACAAGACTTACCACACAAGCCACAAGACTTACCACACAAGCCACAAGACTTACCACACAAGCCACAAGACTAACCACACAAGCCACAAAGACTTACCACACAACCACAAGACTAACCACCACAACAACAAGGATTTACCACACAAGCCACAAGACTAACCACACAAGCCACAAGACTAACCACAAAAAACCCAACAAGACTTACCACACAAGCCACAAGACTTACCACACAAGCCACAAGACTTACCACACAAGCCACAAGACTTACCAAAACAAGCCACAAAATTAACCACACAAGCCACAAGACTAAACCACACAAGCCACAAGACTTACCACACAAGCCACAAGACTAACCACACAAGCCACAAGACTTACCACACAAGCCACAAGACTTACCACACAAGCCACAAGACTAACCACACAAGCCACAAGATTTACCACACAAGCCACAAGACTTACCACACAAGCCACAAGACTAACCACACAAAGCCACAAAGATTACCACCACAAGTCCACAAGATTTAAACCACACAAGCCACAAGAACTTACCACACAACCCACAAGACCTAACCACACAAGCCACAAGATTTACCACACAAGCACAAGCCCTTCCCAAACACAAGCCCACAAGACTTACCACACAAGCCACAAGACTTTCTACAGTAGCGAGTCATGTAGTCCGGGTTGTTCTCACACTCTCCCAGCGACGTCCATTCTGCACAACCGTGATTAGCGTCCCAGCACTTGTCTGGACACCCACGTCCAAGGTTGAGGTATGAAAAATAATATATGAGTTACCTTTGTATTGCTTCAGATTTGTGTTTTATAGTGAGTTCTGATTATATTTTATTTTTAAAATTATTATTAATTATTATTATTATATTATTATTATTTTTTTATTATTATTATTTTTATTAATATTTTAAAAATTATTATCATTATTATTATTATTATCATTATTTATTATTATTATTATTATTATTATATATTATTATTATTTATTAATTAATATTATTATTATTATTAAATTTTTAAATATTATTATTATTAACTTTTATTAAATTATTAATTATTATTAATTATTATTTTATTAAATATTATTATTAAATTATTATTATTATATTATTATTATTATTATTAAATTATTAACATTTATTTTTAAATATTATTTTTAAATTATTTATATAATTATTATTATTTATTATTATTATTATTATTATTAAATAATATTATTTATTATATTATTATTATTTATTATTATTATTATTATTATTTAACATTATATTATTATTATTAATTATTATTATTATTATTATTAAATTACCACACCCATTCACCACACCACCTGCCTTTCAATACCACAGTTTACCACTACAATCACCATCTTTCACCCACCAGTAACTAAAACAAGCACTACATCCAAACACCACCCAGCACCACCAACACCCACAACCACCATAAAACCCACCACCATTCAGCACCCCCAAATGACCCAACAGCAAAAACAAGCAGCACCACCCCCACCACCATTCACACCCAAGCACACCAGCACCACTACCACCAAAACCAGCACCAACCAGCACTAACCATACCTACCAAACAATGGGCCACAAGCCTACAAACAGTGAACGTTCATCCACAGACGGTTACCCTGACACTGGTCATGTTTAAGCCCAAACTGACAGTCCTTTTGTCCCGTCTTTCACAGACTGTCGAGTAGTCGTAAAAAAAAATATATTAATTCCCATAAGTCATGAAAAAAACCCATTATATAAATATAATATATATATATATTATAAAATATAAATATATATATAATATATATTTTAAATATATAATATATATATATAATAATGTTAAAACAAGCATCAACACATGTTAGAACAATATAAAACCACATGTTAGACAAATAAACACATTTTAGAGAATACCCCAACACATGTTAGACAATATAAACACAATGTTAAAACAATATAAACACACATGTTAGACAAGCATCAACACATGTTAGACAATATAAACACATGTTAGACAATATAAACACATGTTAGACAATATCAACACATGTTAGACAATATAAACACATGTTAGACAATATAAACACATGTTAGACAATATAAACACATGTTAGACAATATCAACACATGTTAGACAATATCAACACATGTTAGACATATCAAAAAAACATGTTAGACAATATCAACAAGTTAGACAAGTATCAACACATTTAGAAAATTATAAACACATGT